ATAATCATAAAAAAGGATCTGTGAGATGAAAAATGGTGGTTAAAAATATAAATTTCGCAGTATTAAAAAAAAGCAGAAAAATTCTCAAAAAGCAGACACGACAGAAAAAAGACAGAAAAATCTTCAAAAAGCAGAATTTTTCTTCTAAAAGCAGAAGAGGTGGCAGGCCTGTATAGGACATCCTTGTGCCAACTAGATCACCAAATTCGACAGGGTCCTTTGATAAATAAGCCCAAACATATCATTATCATAAACAAAGAAGAATTATATTCTTTAAATAGTATGATATGAGCTTTTTGAGTATTAACAACGCTCGTATAAACTAACTACTAAAAAAATCATGCTGTTTTCTACAATATGTTTATAATACAGTTACTTTGAAAGAACATTACCACATCAAAAGATATACGTGATGAAACAGTGGAACATTCGTGTACATAACAGTTCATCTCACCTAATACACATGTTTTCTTTTATTGAGTAATACAGTTACATTTAAATAAACATGTTCTACTATATATTATATGCCTATAAAACAGACATAATTTGAAGAAGCAATTACTACGCCTTGTAAGACTGATGTGTCGCTCGTATTTATTAATGTATGTTTATATCTACATGCGACTATATCCATATGCCTATTCCGATAGTCTAGAGGCAAGTGAATTGATTGCCAATGAAAATTTCTTTATTCAAGAAAAACAACGCATGCGCTTTTAAGTTAAACTGATGTTTTGGTTGTGTATATGCCTGAAATTTTACTTATAAGGGAGCCTTCTCAAATTGAAAAACGTTTTCGAGTTTAGACTTTACGCATAATATAGATCTCAATGAGGCATTAAACACCCCAAAAATGATAGGTGTCCCTAGAGTATTAGTCTTTTTTCTAAAACTTTTAGCCTATTAACATTGTATGCAAAAAAAGTATCAAATGACTGTGCTACTAACTTAAGAATCGTTATCCTTTTCCGGGTTTTTGTACAGAGTTCGAACTTAAAAGTGACATTCAAGTTGCGAAGGCTTTCTCATTAAAGGACAACAATTAACTCAAAGATAAGCTTCTTTCCAGTGATTTCTTTTCTGAATGTTTTTACATTGATTTTGAAACTTTGTTCAAAGGAATTTTTCATAATTTCAACTATCAAATGAGTTTTGAGTCAACATTTTAATTAATTAATTTTTTACATATTCTTGTAGTCCGGAAATAATTCTTTCTGTTGTTGTCAATCTTGTTCAAATTACTTGTAAAACAAGAATTAGAATAATTGAGAGGACTCTCGAAAAGGAAAGTATTCTATCAGAAATAATTACTAACACGAGTCAAAACATAATTATTTTTATAATCTACATAAATCAACCTTAAAGGTTATGTGCTAACAAAGATATTGACTTTTGTTTTCGGATAAAGCAAAAGTTAAATTCAAGAAAGTTACACTTTGTTTTTCACGAGTTTTGAAGAAATCTAGACCAATGTCATGACTAGTACATATAAATTGCAACCAGCCGAATAATACGTTTTAAATTAAACATCACGCTCTATTAAATAAAAATAGCAGGAATATTCTATTACCTTCGGTTCGAGTACAGTTCAGCTTGACATTTATCTAAGGACTTTTACAAGATCTATGATAACTAAAAGAACACATTAAAATAGAAATACTTGTGCTCTGAATTTTTTTAAAAAGAGACTATATACTGCACAATAACGTAAAAAAAAATAATTTTAATGCTCATTCATAACAAAATCGCTTCAAGTAAATCAAAAAATTTCTTTTCAAAATCAACCGATGAATGGAAATTCGATAAAAACTGAGAAAAACAAAATGACATAAAACCTCCTATACTAAAAATTCGAAACACTTATAACCATCTGAAATAACTATATTAATAAATTTCAATTAAATTAATTGATATTTATCGAAGACTATCCCATGCATTTGTTCTACTATATTTCATTTGGACATGAATAGTATGGTTTAACAAATAATAATCAATAGAATTAACAGGAACATCTTTACTAACGTATCATGATCTCTTACGAATTATTTATATACTTCTTTGATACAACTACTAAAACCTTAAAACATCAGCAAAATTAGGAAACCTTTTATCATTGTCGCATCTCTAAATTGAATTTATTATAAATAATTTTTCTGTTTAAACTAGGGTGCATATGACATTTTTAAAAGATCGTCTTTTGTGTTAGAAAGATTTATATATAAGCACTTCCATTCACTATAGTTTTATATTCAACTGTTAGTTTTGTTTTTGTTGTTTTTTTTTTGACTTATCTTTAACTATCTCCGTATATTTTTATTCGATTTTATTTTAACCTGTATGTACTTACAATCTTCACTCCATTGTCTATAACCATCTAATTATTTCATACCTTCAAAGGAAACGATAACCGCTTAAATAACTAGAACTAGAAAGTTGCTGTTTAGTCTTTTTATTATATCGGTTTCTGTAAAACCTACGAGGAACAATAAACCTAGATATAAAAAAAAATGATTCAAATAATTAGAGTTCGGCGATTTTAAAAAACTATTCGACACCATTCTTTCCAGTCTTTTTCAGTTCCTACAAAATCTCGTTGGGATCAATTATCTGCTAATACTATACCGAAAAGTTAATATATATGGTGACTACCAAAATTATTCAACGCGGTTTACTTTCAAGTTTTTCTGTAAATTTAAAAAGGATGCAAATAGTGATTCGAGTTGAAAAAAATGTTCTCCAACAAGAATATTAAAAAACTAAAAATGATTTTCAAATTTTCTTATCATCTAGAACGCGAAAATATAATTTCGTTCAGATTATATAAAACGAGATATTAAAAATCATTTTTCTATAGGAAACAATAAGAAAAAATGCTGACTTTAGGCGTTTCCATACTTGTTGTATTTCAAATAGCTCCGAGACGTTTCATTCTATAGAGAATCGTTTGCTTTATCGTTCTATGTTTACACACATTCTAATTAATGAAAGATTAAGAAGTCGATTTTTCTAAAAATACCATCTCAGGGAATCTTATTATTAATTTTATTTTCGCCAATAGTTTTCTTTGGTCGAATTCTTTTTTTTAGTATTTAGGACTATAGGGCATGACGTGGGTGCGAATGTTGATGAAGTATTTTCTTCATCCACACCTCCAGTAGAGTAATTATCATAAAAAAGAATTTCTGTTTCTAACAGTTCCAATTTCATGCACTTTTATTTCACGGTTTTACTTCTCTTTCCGGATCAGACAAATTGAAAAATTCCGGTTCCGATTCAATTTCATTTTTTTTTTTTTGGAATTAAAAACTGCTATAAATAATATTAATGAATAAATTCATTACTTAATAGATAACTATCCTAATATTACAAGAGTACAAATAATAAATGTGTAAAAATGATAACAACTGAACAATTATGATTTTATCCAATTAAAAAAAAATTGAAGAACTATTTGTCGTACTCTTTGTGATTGATAATTAAAGGCCGCATTCACATTCATTGAATCCTCTTTTTACATTTAGTAAATTAACTATTTATCGAATGATAATAAATGCGCTATTTGTTTTGTTTTTCCTGACAACATAATCTATATATATATAGAATGAGAACAAAATCACCTATAAATCAACAAAAAAATCTTCAACTTGAATCCTTATATTTACGTGAAGCTTACACACGTATACAAGCATGGAAACAATATCAAGATAAGATTTCTGAAGAACGTTGTAATTGGCCACCACCAATTAATGGTAAAACATATAATAAATATGAAGAAATCATTTATAGTGTAAATACAAATAATTCTAATTATGATTCATGGTTTCATCGAAATATTTATAAAAATTTTCTAATGAAAACTAGTCAAACACAATATATGATATATGATTTAAACAAATCTATTTCACATAAAGAAACAAAACTTGAACAAGAAGTAAGACAATTAAGAGAAAAACTAAAAAATTTTCAGTTATATAAATTAAATGATATTTATCTTAAACCAATGTATCCTGTTTTACCATCAATACATTATTATTTATATAATGGTATTAGTAAAGAACTTGAAGGTCGTTTAAATTATTTAAACAAACGAAAAATTTATGCACCTAATGAAAAATATTATGAACCATTATGTTCATCATGGGATATTACATGGAATATAAAAAATTTCGATTGAAATGAATAAAAATATAGAGATGATTAGATATAATGACTTCAAAAATTGATCATATAGATTTAATTTGTAAACATCTACCATAATATATGCTGTAATTATTTCTATAATTTTTAATTAAAAGAGTTTTTTCAGATAAATTAAAATGATTTCGAGGATTTTGCAAAGATATTTTTAAGGTTTTAGGATAATTAGCATAAAGAATCCAAATTAGTAGAGTTCTTTGTTTCAAACAAAAAATTAAAGCATATTAAATCCTCACTATATTCAGCGAATTCAAAACCAAGTTTTTCAGAAATCAGATTTCCAAAAGAAAAGGTTTTTTGGCTGAATTACATCAATTTTAAGAAAAATCCTATTTGTTCGATTTTTCCATAGGAGAAAGCTATTTTAGAACTTTTCCAAGTCAAGAAAACTTTTATTTTACCGTATCTAAATTCTAAAACAACTCACTCTGTGTTTTTCTGTATAATCAATATTTCAAGTCACTATAACACTTAATACATACTAAAAGTACATGATAACATTTATTTAGAAAAAAAAAAAAAAAAGAAATATTTATAGACAAACACAAAACAATCATCTTGTTTGTTTGTTTTTTCTTTGTATATTTTTAATTACGTTTTCTATCTCGAACATGTTCTTGAATCTCTTGCATATTTTCATTTCTTTTAAAATCATCACTATTATCATTAATAGGTGTAGAACATGAAGGTGAACAATGATTCATTTCAGAATTTAGTAAAGATGATGAAGTTGATGGTGAAACTGAATAAGAACGTCCATTAAGTGTTGATGATGATTGAAGTAAATGTGTAAAATCATTAAAATAAAGTAAAGGAAGTGTTGATAATGTTGATGTATTATAAATTTGTTCATCAGATCGATGAGAATCCATTGAACTACAAATACTATTTTTACTACTTGTATTATCATCGATAGATACTTGTACAAGTTGTTTTTGATTGTGATCTAATGATGATGATGATGAGGATGATGATGATGACATTTTTCTTATGCCTGATTTATGTTCAACTGCTTCGGCATTTGATATATTTTCTGTTTTTTTCCATTTTGTACGACGATTTTGAAACCTAACCAATAAAAAAATATTTAGTTTTATTGTTTTTTTTTTCTTATTTAATCGTTAAAAATTTTTAATATAAAACATACCAAATTTTAACTTGTGTTTCAGTAACTGTAAGTAATGTTGCCATTTCAGCACGTTCAATTGATGATAAATATTTTTTATCGTCAAATTTTTTTTCAAGTTCAAATATTTGTTTACCTGTAAATGTTGTTCGAGCTTTTTTCTTTTTTTTCTTTTGTGTATCGATTAATAAATCTTCATTATCGTTTGTTAAAATTGATTGACAATATTCTTCATTATAAGTTTTTATTGAATCACCAAGTATATCATTAATATAAAAACTTGTTCGACGATTATTTGTTCGTGAAATTCTTGGTAATAAATTTATAGATGAAAAATAATTTTGATAAAAATCATTTGTTGATATTGGCATTATTGCCATAATTGAAAACAAAAAGAAACGATAGAAGACAATCTGAAGAAAACTATTTCAAGCAATGAGCATTTTATGTAAACGTATAAGCTTTTATTTAGACAATTAACAAATTATCAAATGTATATATAAAAAGATAACATAGCCTGAAGGAATGTTGAGAGAAACAAAAAAAAATAAGAAAAAGAAATTCCTACCGGTTTATATTATGATTAACGAATCATTTTAATTTCTTGATGAAACAATCGATATAACAAATAATTAATAAACTATTCATTCTGTGTATGTCTGTTAAAGCTCACTTTTATATTTGACCTGACTTTTTCTATGGCATCTCTTACCATCAAAGTCAGTCATGCGCAAGTAAAGACAGAGAGAGAGAGAGAGAGAACTAGAAAAGAATCATCATTATCATCATCATTGCTTCCTTGATCTTTCTTTCTATCTGTCTCTGTCTCTCTTTCTTTCTGTTTCTGATTGCTAGACTTAGACGTGTCAAATTACAATTGTCAGGTGTACAAGAGACAAGAAAGATGATAATAATGCTCTATTTGTCTTCAATGAGCATCCAGCGGAAAGTTTTAGAAATTAAATGGGCCCTGGATTTTTTTTTCTTCTTTGTCAAAACCACTAATTGAGAGTCAAATGATAATGATGATGATTTCAAATTATCATTCATGCAAAATACTAAATAGAAGAAAAAAAACAGGCTAATGATAATTTATGCTGTAGCTAACGAATTCAATCTCATCTCTTTTAACATATGTAATCATCGATCAATGAGAAGTAGTATTCAACTATATATATATATGTTAAGAAAAGCCCATTAGGATGATGATTATATCGAGCCCTACCGTCTTTTTCATTTGTAAATGTTCTCTATTTCTCTGCTGGCAGGTGTACAAAGTCATAACCTTTTCCTTTACTAATTCTGCTTTTTTTTAACTTCTGTCCTTTAACTCATCACCGTTGTGAATATGTTTTTTTTTCTTGTCTCTGTTTCTTTTTTCTTCTTCTTTTATTCACAACGCACAATCAATTTGAGAGGAAGTATGAAAGAGTTGTTACCCGAGCAGCAATTAGAAACATTAAATAGGTTCCGCTTTGATACTCTACAACATTGTCATCATCGAATGACAGACATACAGACAACATAAAAGACAAGAGGATATGGATGCTATTACTTGGTGTGATGCTTAAAGCTTCTCACTCATCTTTTTACTTTTTTTTTCTCACTTATATCTTCTTCCATTGTCTTTTTACTATACTTAAGTAATTATAAAACAATCAACTAGTCTATCAATTAACGATATATAGATAGTTGAATATATCAAAAGAATATCTAATGGATACATTTTTACTTAAAAGAAAGCCATTGAAGTTATTTATGAACTAAACTAATAATGACAAACTATTAAAAGAAAATGAAATTCGAAAAAAAAAGAAAGATGAATTCATGTTGAATATATAAATAAATCAATAAATGAGAGATATACATACTTAGTCAAATGTTTTTTCAATCGATAAGTAACTATCATTTATACTAGAAAATGAAATTCCAATTGTATGAAACTATTAGTAACTATGTAAAGAATTTCGACATGTATACGATCGATTGATATAAAGAATGAATGATTTCTTTTTTCAAATGATGAATCTATTCATACTCATTTAATATAGATAGAAATGAACAAGAATGTAACATGAAGTATTACTAGTAACAAAATATGAAATCTTAAAGATATCTTAAAATAGTGCCAATTATCTTTTATTCTTCTTTTTCAACAAATTTGATTAACAGAAGACAACGAAAGAAAAAATGAACATGATCATACACAATAAATATCAATCGATTTGACATTAATATATAATGCAAAGTAGTATGATATCCATCTCGAACTAATCATCATTTATCGATTGTCGATATGATTATTAAGAGAAAGAAAAAAAAACAACTAATGTAAATGTATTATACCAAAAGCTATTCTTTGAAGAGTGAATGTCGATACACTTTATCATGTCGATAATATTTAGATTACTTCATACATACCATATGGAATGATATGCTGTTTTTTACAAATTAATATATATGATAAAAAAAAAAAGAAGAAAAGAAAAAAAAGATTACAATCTATTTAAATAGACTAGTCTTTAATGAACATTTATTATATAATGAGATTCTTTTTACTATTAATATTCTTAAGCGTTTTCATACTCATCATGCATAAAATTCATGTAACGACTGTCATTAAGATTGGCATTAAGTTCTTAAAAACTTCTTCAAAAAATTGAACACAATGACGTGACAATCTCAAATCCGTACAAATGAGAGATATTATTAATATTATTAGACTTTATTTCCAAAAATATCTTTAAAAAAAAAAGTTTTAAAAATAAAACTAAAAAATAAAGAATAATAAAATTATTAACACATTATTTTCTATATTTGATTGATTCTTGAATATTTTATTCTTGATAGAATTTGTTTTGTTTTGTTTTGGAAATACTGATTATTTAATATTTATGATTTGTTGATTGATAGTTTGACAACATAATAATAGATTACTGATGATTTGTTTATAATAATTTGAGATTTAGAATAAGATTAATGATTCAAAGCATTTGGATTCTTTAAACCAACGAAAATTTTTTAGGATGAGAATTTTACATACAAAATTATTGTTATTATCATTTGAATTATTTATTAATTAGTTAATACAACATTAGCACATCGGTGTTAAGTATTATTTTGTTTTTAAGAACATCATTGATGATAAATTAATTCTGCTTGATCTATTGTGAAAAAAACAGTCAGTTTACATTCAATCAAGATTTATTCTCAGGAGAAACTTGACACGATATAATCATCTTAGAACATTCAGCATGCGCATAGATACATATATATATATTGATATTTATATTTCTGTATGTATATACCAGAGTTAGTACAAATAATATATTATAGACAAAAAAAGAAACCTATTAATACTAACATATTTCCTTTCCTTTCATCAAGTCATTAATGTTGACATTTGTTTTAGTTTGGTTTCTTTTTTCATTCATGTCTCAACTTTGTTTGATTTTTCTTTTTTTTTTCTTAGATAAAACAAATGTTGGTATCGGTCGTTCTCGTATTCCACAATGAATAATTTTATTTCTATCGGATATTATTTCTCAAACGATCGTTAAGTCTTAATAAAACAAGCATTTGGACCCGAACAAATAGACAAAGCATATGTTAGCCAAAGTTAAAAGAGTCGGAAATTATTTTTGTATATGTTAATAGAACGAGTAAGAGATATAACTGCGACACATCATTACTAGTCAGTTCTTACTGATTTATTTTGATGTTCATTGTTTCCAGGCTATTGGTATATGTACTCATCTTCTCTTGTTTCCTATAATGACTCCATTTGGAATGACATTTGATAAGATTCGTGTGATGTCAGTAGCCAGATGATAACGATGAGAATATGGTCTATCAACGATTGACATTCATTGTTTTTTGTTTCTATGGATCTTTTTGCAATCATACTTATTAGTGTAACAATATTCACAATTTGTGGCATATGCATTTTTATTTTTATTTGTGCATTACAACCAAAAATTTTACGGTTAGTTTTAGTAAAATAAAATAAAATTTTTATTTAATAGAACAAATATTTTTCTTTTTTTTCTTTCTTTTGTTTCAGTTATTTCCATCGAAAAACAAATAGAACATATTATATTACAGCTTCAAAAAAACAACATGAAATTCAAAATGATTTCAATATAAATAATTTTGATTTACCTACAAAATCCATATCAAATGACTTAGATAAACGAGCATATTTAAAAATATTAGAACGAAGTGTTAGAACTGGACGATCAATACAAGATGAAAAAGACAATAAAATTAATACGACTATGACTAATACTACTAATAATAATAATAATGATTCTCGTCTAGATTTATTTTATCTTCTTCGTCAATATATAAATGAAAATTCATCTTCAACAATCACTAATGTATCAAGAAGTACAGAACTTTGATTAGAAATTAACACAAAATGATTTTTTAAAAAAATAGTTATTGCGAATTTTCCTGTTGCCAAGGCAATGGTACACTTAAATCAATATTTCCACCACATAAAATAATACCTACATTACGAATATTTGGATCTAATTGATCAAAATAAGATATTATAGCACCAAGTGATAAGCCAGCAGCAAGTTCAATGACTAATTTAAGTCGTTCAAATGCAAATCGTGTTGCATCAATCATTATTTTATCGGATATAGTAAACACTTGTTTTTCAACTAATGAACACATTATTGGAAATGTAAGTGTACCACATTGTTGTAAACGACATGCTTAGAAGCAAAAAGAAAAAGTATTTTTAAGAAAAAAATTTTCAAAAAATAAACAAAAATACCTTCACATTTAGTTTTAAGAAATTGAGGAGGTTCAGGCCATAAACGTTTTTCTTCTTTCAAACATTCTGCAAGCATTTTTCCTTCAGGTACACAAGCATATATTCGAATATGTGGATTAATACGTTTAGTATATAAAGCAATACCACTTATAAGACCACCACCACTGACTGGTACTAATATTGCATCAAGATTAGGTACTTGTTCAAGAAGTTCAACGGCAATTGTTCCTTGACCTAATTATTCAACAAAAAAATTTCTAATATATTAAATAATTCTTCAATATTCATTTACCAGCAATAACATCTGGATGATCATATGGTGGTATAATTAAATAGTCTCGTTCTTGACTAATTCGTAAACAAGTCGATATTCGACTAGCTGGTGTCGGTTCACAAATAACTAATTCTGCACCATAATGTTCAATAGCATCTGTTTTATTTTTTGGTGTATCCTGAGGAACAACAACAACACATGGTCGTTTAACAATTGATGCAGCGTAAGACAATGCTTGTCCATGATTACCGGATGAATGTGTAACAAAACCTTTTACATTCGGATCAATTTTCATTGCATTAAGTACAGCATTAAGAGCACCACGACTTTTAAATGAACCTGTACGTTGAAAATTTTCACATTTTAAATAAACATTTCTTCCTGTTAATGTATTTAATAATGTACTGGTTAGAATAGGTGTAATCGGTAGTGATATAGAACGTAGATGACTTGCAGCTATATGAATTTCAGCCAGACTAGGTACTTCTTTTTCATCCATAATCAAATAAATTATTCTTGAAACAAAACAACAACAACAATCAAAATATTCTTTTTTGTTTCTTTTAATTTCTTTTAAATATTTGACTGCTAATGTCTTTGTTTTTTTCTTTTCTCAATACACACGCACACACCATATAAGCGCATAACAAATGATATTGAAAACGAAAAATATGACGAACATAAAGATAAAGAAACTAATGTTTTTAAGAACAAGTACAGAAAAAGAAAAAAAAAACGAGCTATAGACAAAAAAAATCAAAGAACACAATACACATATTTATTTTCGAAAATTCGATAGGTACTAAATCTTTCTCATAATGTTTTTTCTAATCAGGGACAATAATAATAGGTATAATTTTTTTGTGCATGTGTTTTTATCAGTCTTTTATATACAAATATAATTAACCTAGACTGTTCTCTCAGTATGTTGCTCGGTGGTTTATATTGTTTTGTTTTGTTTTGTTTTTTTTATACAATAAATAAAAAACATTGCATCTTTCTTTTTTGCTTCTTTTCTCCGCTTCGAACAAAGCAACACGTTCAAGCACAGACAATAGCAGAACAAAAAAAGAAAGAGAAGGAGATAAGGAGAAAAAAAGCATAAGCGAAAGTTTTTTTTTTTTTTGTTATAATAAACAAGTTGATATAATTGACAAGAGAAAAGAAATTATTTGAAATACAATGATACATGCACACACGCACACGCACACACACACTCAATAACAATGAACAATAGAGAGAGCAACGGCAAAATTTATCCATTGTATCGTTTAGAAGAGATAAACAGTGAATTCTTTTTTTTTTTTTTTGTGTGTAGTTATTGTTTTTTCTTTTCTTACCAACACCAAAATCACTGTACAAAAAGGAAAACAAAATGAGTAGATATAAAGATATAGAACCGAATTAACAACACTAAAATTAAAAGACAAAAAAAAAGAAATATTAAATATACTTTTATTTAGAAAATGTTCAACAAAGGATTAATAGACTGGAAATGAGAAAAATAATCTTTTTTTCCGTGATTACAGACAATTCCAAGGTTATCTCGCCTCAAGAGACAATCACACCAATATTTTATGCACACACAAAACCCAGAAGAATGGCAGTTCTTTGACAAACGAACTCACTTTCTTCGATAGGAAAGTCTCAAGTCACATAATTCTGAACAACATGACTATGAATTTTAAAAGAGAGAGAGAGAGAGCGATATAGAACAGTTTTGATGTTCCTCCATTTATGTCCCTCGATACATGTTATGTTAATCGACCATTATGATGTGGTTTTGTGTGCTGTCAACTAATAGAAATTTGCCTTGCATGTTTATTAAGAATCATTAGGTTGACCTTCGTGTTTAACCTTAGGAGAGAAACAATTAAGTTAGGATGAAATCTCACGATCTACAAGATCTATATAGCCTGTAGAAAATTTATTAATTTTCGATACTTGATCCTCCCAGTGTGAAAAGTCAAAACATACGATAATAATATTTTTTGTTGAAATAATAATTTATTATTGTTAATTACTTTTTTTTTCTTCTTAACATAAGTTATAATTTGTGACCTTTTTTTTTTTCTTCTTTCCTATTAGACAAATGAGATTATCTATTAACTTACATGCCGTATTTGATGTCTTGAACTGTTCTTAAGTAAATAATGCCGTTAAGAAAAAAAAAAAAAAGATTATTTTCTCGTTTGTTTATTATTTGTACGTCTTGTACGACGATTAAAAAAACAACAACATCTAAATTAAAAAAAAATAATTAAATTTTTATATAATTATTTTTTCTTTTTATAAAGAATCTCATTATTTCATTTCCTTTCATTTTTTTTTTTATGTTACTTACTTTGTATCACTAATAACATCAACATTAGCCGGAGATGATGATGTAATAATATGTGCATGTTCTCGATCAGCACGATCAGTAGTATCTTCATCAGGTGAACTTATCAACTACAAAATATCATTAAATGATATTTATTTCATAGAATTAAAATAAAATTTAATATTAATAATAATCAGAAGAAGAAGCAATAGCCACTATAAAAACTACGAGCCATTCATTCTATAGGGACGGGTAGACAGACGATGACATAATTAAATACCTGCATTGATCCATGCACTTGTTGTGTTGATGGTGAAAGATGTGCATTTAGAAATCCTGAACCAGTTTTGCCCGTCTGAGAGAAAGAGAGATAGGGTGGGAGTTTTTATTTTAAACAGTTTATCTAATTTGTCTTCGATCAACATATTCATTTTCATGAACACTTACTTTATTTATTTGGCGTACAGCTGGACTAGAAGATGTTTCTGGTTGAGTTGATGTTGGATATTGAGCATTACTAGTTGAAGTCTATTACATAAAACATAAGAAGTATTGAATTGAAAAATCATTTTTTTTTCTCTCTTATAATTAATACTTTATTTGTTAATTTTTGCATTTTTTCTACCCAATCAAAATTATAATCACAAACATAATTTCTAGCATCCATTAAATCTTTGAATAATTTTCTCAAATATTCATACTAAGTGTAAAAAGAAAACGATAGAAGAATTCGAAAAAAAAACAAAACAATTAAATATTCTTACATTAGGAGTTTCAAAAAAATCTAAATTTCGTACATATTTTAAATATTTAGCAAATTCTTCTACAAATAACAAAAGAAAAAATATATATTATTTAAATGTAAAGTTTGGTTTATCATACCAGGTTGACTCTGACATAATACATCAATATGAGTTGCACGTTTAGTATCACCTATTTTTTGATAACGTTCTTTTAATGTTTCAGCTTTTAATCCTTGCCACTAAAATTAAAAAAAAAAAAAGAAATAAATTTTTCATAAATTGATACGTAGTTTTCCATCAAAACAGAAGGACATGCTGGACACAATGAAATTAATGATTTCTTATTTTTTCTCACGGTCAATGACTAAACACTTGTTGCTTCTTCTTGACTACATTTTTGTCTAGACTTAGTTAAATTCCATTATAATGACCTTAGTAAGAAATCTCTTGAATAGGTGATATTGCGCAATCTATATCAAGAAAAATCTTATCCTTGAAAATCATTTTAGTCAAGACATACTTATTACAAATATGTCAATGGCATTATGATTCATATTTCACTTTTACTTTTCTATTCAAAAATGTGACATTTTAGAATTCGAACATATATATATATATACGTAATAGAAGTCATACCGGTAAACTACCACGTAAAAAATACATAAACATATGCCCCAATGCTTCTAAATCATCTCGACGACTTTGCTCTATAATATAACAACAAGAAAAAGAAAAGAAAATTATTTTAATATTACAATAGAAATCTAACCTTTTCCAAGATGAGTATTAATACTCATATATCTCGCTGTGCCTAGAAAAAGTAAATAGCATGAATTAAAAAAGAAAAAACTCGAATGTATTTCTATTAAACAACACACCCGTTAAACTTTTATGTTCACGAAATGGTATATGTCGACCAGTATCAGGATCAATATATTCTTTAGCTAATCCAAAATCAATAATATGTATCAAATGTTGTTTACGTGTAGACGAACGTCCAATAAGAAAATTTTCAGGTTTAACACTTTAAAACAAATCAATATGAATTTCATTTTTTTTAGAAAAGCAAAAATTTACTCTCGATAAATTAAATTTTTCGAATGAACATATTCCATACGTGTAATCTAAACAAATACAAAATGAATATTTATCTTTATATAATATATATCTTATACTAATTGAATAGCAATCATAAGGACGGTTTTAAGTGAAAATTTTCGATCGCAATTATCAAATAAATCTTCTAGTGATGGTCCAAGTAATTCAATAACTAATGCATTATATTTTCCACATGGTCCAAAATAATGTACTTGTGGAATTCCCTCTAAACAAAACTGAAATATATACTTGATAGTTTTATGATCGTTTAACAAACCACAATTTCCAAGTTGTCGATAAAATCGATATTCAAGATGAAGTTGTGGTGCACGAGATTTCATAGGTTCCTTGAAAATAAATTGTTCAATTTCATCTATATATTTTTGTTTTTTAAAATAAAACTTACTAATTTAATAGCTACATGTTCATTATTATACAAATTTTTTCCTAAACGAATTTCTCCAAAATTTCCAGCTCCTATACGTTTTCCTACACGAAAATTAGGTCCAACCATAAGCATAGCATTTGGACCGGAACTATTTGTAGCAACATTCGAAGTTGTTGTTTCATTTGATTTTTCTATTGTATTTGTTGCTAAACCTGGTCCACGTCCTGTACGTTGATCACTGGCTATTATTGATGTTTGTAAACCCGAAACAGTTTGTTTTAAATTTGAATTACTTCGATTTATTGTTTCATTTTCATCCATGTTTTTTTAATCGTAATATAATAAATAAAGTTAATCACACCATGTATTCTGAAGTATAAGAAATATAATTAAATTTTATAAATAAGTCGAACAATCTAATGTAAACATTGAAGGTGATATGATTCGTTTTTTTTTTTTTTTTTTTTTTGAGTACAACTCCAAGAATGCAATGATACTCGACTAATCAATCATTGAATTCTATTGACCAATAATACATTTGTATTTAAAAAAGAAAGAAGGCGATTGCATAGATGGGGTTATACTACTTATTAATGACATCTATTTGAACAATCAAATTCAATGCTTGGTAACAACATATAATCGGTGATGTAAATGAAAGAACTGTACAAAAATTTATTTTTGTGACGAAAGTAGTGCTTTAAAAGTGAGCTATGACTGATAATATTAATAAATTATCACAAAATATTGATGGAAATAAACAGCAACAGACAGCTGCTTCAATTGTAAATTTGACAGATGATGGTAAGCTGTGATAATTTTTATGTTTTTATTGTAATGATTTATTGTATTAAAAAGAGAACAGACAAAATATCACCTTCACATAAGGTACTTGTATCAAGATGTCTGATGTCTTTTATAGACAAGACAAAAACATAAATTTTCTTCTTTGGAAATTATTTATTTATTTTTTTTTTTTTGTTAAATTAAAATTTTCTTCAAAAATCTTTAGTTTTGTTTTCTAGAACTATTTTCCTTAATTTTTTATTAAATCAATCAGTTGAATTGAATTGTAATGATTGAAAAACAAAAAAATTTGTTAATGTTTGCTTGAAAAATGAAACCTTATGTCAATCTTGTGAAGTCTTTGATCAATCGATAACGGCACTTTTAAGGATGCCAAACACTCCAGCGAGAAAAAAAGTTATTTTTCTTTCCAATGTATTATTTGTTACAATGATTGACGTTTCTTCTTCAAGGATAATACGATATTTAAATAATATGCTGATTAACAAATTTTATAGGTGTGATGGTTTCTTTTACATTCATGTAATATATTTAGATATTTAGTTCGTGCTGCATCATTGAAGCAGAACGTTATAGTTTGTTCTTTTTCTTAGATAAAACTATAATATGGTTATTTTCTGCTTCGTTGAAAATAAGTGAACTTTGTACAGGAAAGCATACGCCGAAAATTTTTGAAACAAATGTATGTTTATATTTGATTTACATGAAAGTATTCTAGTTGAGATAGAAATTGAAGAACAGAATCATAATTTGACGTTCTTTGCGAAGATGAGCTCAGAAATTTTTCTATCTATTTTAAAGAATCTTTTAACGTCTTGAAAAAATTGACTGTGTGGCAAATAAACAGACATTTGCTATTTGCATAAGTCACATTGAACAATTGCTCAGAACAATTAAATGTATTTATTCTGTAGAGCACATTATTTTCTATGATTTGTAATGTTTAAGTAAAATTTAGCTTGTAAACAAGTGAAATAAGGAACATTTTGTCAAAAAATGTTTCAACAGAAAAGAAAAATCAATTTTTGTATATGAAATAAAATTTTAGCCATTGAGATTCGATTTTTCAATAGAAAATCTACAAAATTTTTACATTCTTTCTTTCAAAGATTATTGTTACATTTCATTAACAAAAAAAAATACAAAATTTCTTAACTCATTTTTAGTCGTTATCTATTACTTTACATTTGTCTAGAATACTTTAAAGTGGATCATTAAAGAAGAAAAAAAAACATGTCGAAAACCTTTCAGCGCACTTATTCTTATACAAACTCAATTAAACTCCCCTCGAAAATTGCTCTCGGGTGAGGTGCATGAAATTTTCAGCTCTATATCATGAAGTATTCGGAAGATGTTTAACAAGCAAGATTCAAAAATAGCTCATTCACCAACTTGTAATTCTCTTTGAGCTCTCGTTCTATAAATTTTTACTTGAAAAAGCATGTCAAACTACCGTGCTCTTTCTTTTTTTAATTCTTACTTTTTATGTTAAGGAAACGGATGACAAATACAATACCTCAAAGAATGTTTTACATGATAATAAAAAGCTTAATTAAAAGAAAAAGCAGACATTACTGCTTCGGATGTTCTTTCAAAGAAAATGTAAAATCGCAGCAATTAGTTAGAATGAACTTTCTTCAAGGATTTTCGGATGCATGATTAGAAAAGTACAAAGCACAGAATAAACGAAAAAAGATTCTTCACTTCTTTTGAAAACAGTATATTTTCTTCAAGTAGAAGTTGATGGAAATGTTTGATATATTGTAAAGGAGAAGGGAGGGGACGGGGGCAGGTAGTTTAAAAAGGACATCTGTTGATAAAGTTGAATTTTGGTTTTGTTTATATCATAGATGTGGTTAAAATCTGGGATGCAGTATCGGCTTTTATTGAATCTTATATAAAACAATCGAAAGTAAGATCAGTCTTATTTTTCATAAATTTTAATTATATATGTATATATTATATATATATATATATTAATTAGGGTATTATTATTCCTGGTTTTGGTACATTTAGTTTTATACATAAACGTATTGATGTTGGAAATAATAAATTTTTACTTATTCAACGACCTGTTTTCGCCTTATCAGACAAAGTTGCTCAAACACATGGTCTAAAATTTACACGTTATCCTATAAATGGTTCAATACCAGTACATCCATTAAATTATTTTTATATACAAACACAAACAACATATAAACGTGATCAAATAGAACAATGTGTTAAACATGTTTTACAAGTATTTAATCGTTCTATAGCTGCACAACGTAATGTTGAATTTACATTTTCACATATTGGAAAATTACATATACGTAATGGAAAAGTTAAAATGAAATTTTTTAAAGATTTTATTAGTGCTGTTGATGAAAATGGTGGAAAACATATCATTGAGAATATGTGCAATGTAAGAGGCAAAAAAAAAGTTTATTTTCTTTTTTTTATCAAAATGAGAAATAATTATTGATCATTCAGAGACCACATACATGTGATTCAGTTATGTCGGAACGAGAAGTAACTCGACCACCATCATCTTCAAATGTTATTCTTCCGCGGTATGTTTTCCATTCGTAATTTATTCAGGTTATAGTTCGAGTTGAACTTTTTCCAAAGAAAATAAAAAGCTCGATTGAATTGAAAGATAAGCACAATGATATAATTCATGGAAATAGTCGATGACTATTATCATGCTAAGTATGACGAAAAATTGATAATATACGGTCACGAATGATAGAAACCAGAGATGCGTACTGCTTGTGCTTTAACAACAAGTATGAATCATTCTATCTACTGTCTTTCTATTAAATATCTATTTTCTTTTTTTATATCTGAATACATAAGATTTATAGCCAGGCTATTATGCTCTTGTTTTCTTTTTCAAGTTTGATGTTATTTACATAAATACAACCAAAAAAGTATTTTTTAGCATAGACATATGTAAAAGTATTGATTCTAGAATAGATTCTAAGGCATGAACTGCATCTATGGTAACATTTTCAACGAGATTCGACTCCAGAAAAAAGCTTCCTAAAAGATTTGTACCGTGTGGAATTAATTTTGAAGTTCTTGTTCGGTCATAAAAGCATTTTTCCGTTTCTGTACTTGTACTCGATCATGTCGCTAAAGCAATGTCAATCGATTTTTTTTCTTGATAAATCTAGGAATCCTCACAACAAAGTTTAAATAGAGATTTTGTAGCATTATAAGGTGTCTACAGAATGTACCATTTAGTTTTGTTTCAATTCGAAGTTTTCTTTATATTAAAATGCTTGAAGTGAAAGTCGATGTTCTTGTTTTGCGTCACATCGCTAACGCTAAGTTTTTGTTCTTACTGATAACTCCTTTGACAATAGGTCTCTATCTAGTGCTGATTTTTTCAGGATATCTAAAGTAACTTAACATAGACGTAACATCGAAAAATCTGCTCTAGAAAAGTTTCTTATCATGAGATACACATGTATTACTTTTGCAAAGTCACGTTGCTAAGGAATGATTCGACCCATATATGAATTGTAGTCAATGAAAATCAGTGTCAATATCATAGCTAATTCTCATATTGACACTGTTAAATCCCTACATAGAAGATGAAAGAAAATCTATATTTGATAATATCTTATAGACTTAATAGCCGTATTGGAAATTCATCAATGCAAGTCATTCAAGAAGAAAATCAAGTTGATGATGAAGAACAAGAACAATCACAGCGAGGTAAAAATAAAATAATTTAGTTTTTTTTCGGTCTATTAGAAAACAAAAATAATTTCTTCATTTCATACAGATACGATTCTAGTTAAGAATGATTCAAATCATTCAAACTCTAGAAACGATGATTTTAAATTACCACCTCTTATTGAAACACCTAGAGGTAGAATTTTGAATACACCTGTTTGAATTTCTTTTCTGACTACCACCTATTAAATAACATCAATAGAAAAAGTGCAAACTCTATTCTATTTAGTAGCTATTTTCCGGAAAAATAATTAGTCGGTCATAGAATGGAAAGAAGAAGAAAAAAGACCGAATCCTATGCTTCTTCTTCTTTTTTTTCTTTTGCTCATTGTAATATTATGCCTTTTTGATTGCACTTATGTTTGATGTCAACAAAAAATCTGCTTGTTGCCAATCGTCTATGGGACGATTTGATAATTCAAATCAATCAATTTTATTTAATTCCTGCATAGAACCAGCTGCTTCGACATCAATAAAAACATCATTATCATCAAATGTAATAAAAACAACTGGAACAGGAACTTCAATAGAAGGCATTATTCCAATTGCATCACTTTTCTCTTCAACAGATTTTGCTCAACCATCTACAACAACAAAAAAAACGCCACCACCACCACCACCACCTTATACTCCGATGAAACGATTAGTACCACTTCATCAAACTGAACAAGAAAATGAACAAACATCAATGTAAGATTGAAATGTTTTATTTAAATTTTTAAAGATTAAAGAAATACTCCATATAAGGTAGCAGTTAATTTATGTGATCAAAGACTTTTTGATTTATTAATAGTGAATAACATTCCTGACAAAATATTAAAATGCTTGTTTTCAAAACCATTTTCAATGTGATTAAATATTTATCAATGTTTTAATATATAAAACTAAATAGAACATCGATTAGTTTATGATAACGAAACCAATTGGAGAAACAGCGTACTTCCATGCTTTCTGAAGTACAATAGAAATACGAAAGTGAAGTGGAAACATATGGAATATAGTAATAAAATTGCGGAAGCACATGAGTACATTGTTCTCTCTTTAGAAAAACTAAATTTTTAAAAATCTTACAAGGATATATCCTTAGCTGTCGAACACCAATCGAGCCCATATGGTGGGGTTCATAAATATAATTCAGTTCTTATACAGTCAGCCTCTAGACTAAGTATTTATGGAAAGCTGAATTATGAAGTTTTCAACTGAAATTTTCTCTATAAGAAAGATCTAAGGACTGATGCAATATTATAAAAATTTCAGCTCAAATGAGTTCTTTTTTTGAGATATTCATGAAGAGGAATACAATCATTTAAAATAAAACTTTGAGAATACCCTAGTGGCTATGAGATTTATCTATGGACAAAACTTCAGTTGAACCTCTCACAATTTAGATTTGTACGAGCATCTGATCTTGAAATCAAAGGTCGCAGTAAAATGCTCATTACTCAGGTTGGATAGGACATAAATCCGAGTCGAGGAAGAAACGGACAACTTCAAACTCAAAGTCTCCACCATGTCTCTCTTAACGGAAATTCGTTAAGGCTTCATCTAGTCTCAATAAATTCTAATTATAGGTCCAATAAAAGCTCGATCACCATCCAGTAGTTGAGGATATTTTTTTGTAAGAGATCTTGAATAATATAGAATACTGTTCAAATACTTGAACGTATCACGTTGATTGAATAGACATAGAGATAAAACATAGGCTTCGACTTAAAGACGAATTTGAACACATTTTGAACTTATACATATAACCGTGGACTTCGTTAGAATTATTTTTTCCATCTACAAATTCTATTCTTTCCTTCCTGTCTAAATAGGAAACATGATTCTAAACATAGATTCAAATTACTTTAAGTCTTAATTTCTTCTGTAGCAATACTCCACATCTTCCTTCGTCAGTGATCAGTTTACCAAAGAAATTTTTCTTGCTATTTTCTCTATTCTCTTTGAAATTTTCTCCAGTACTAGTACGATATTCAAATATATGTTATACTTATTTAAATCCTATAGAAATCCATCAACCAATCCTACTGTTATACGATCAAAAAATGAAAGTACTTCTTCATTGGGTTTTACACGTCCGGGAACAGATCGTATAAGTGCACGTGATCGTATATCATCAACATTAAATGTTTATCCTCAACAATATCAACATATACTAACTAAATCTTTGACATCATGTGATATACATGACATGAATCAAGAACTTTGTTCTGTTTGTCATCAACGTGCTAAACGAAATATACCAGTTTATTTACATGAAGAAAAACGTATGCGTGAAGCTGAAGAAGAAAAACTACTTGAACAATATCAACATAATCGAGATCTTGAGGAACAAAAAAAACTTGAAGTAAATCATAAAGAAAATTTTGTTCTTAAATTTTGTTTTGTTTTCTTTTCTTTTTTGTTTATTAGGCAGCTATGAAAGTAGCTCGAGAAGAAAAACAAAAAATAGCTGCTGTATGTATTGAAAATAGATTTGTATAGAAAAATAAATCTATTCTTTATTGTTTTTGTTTTGTAGTTTAATTTAGGTATTGCACAAGCAACACGAGCTAAAAAATTAGAACGACCACAAACAACTGATATACCGGTTAAGATTTCTTAATATAAATTGAAAAAGTTTATTTTTCATATTTTAGCGTTCAATTATATTTCGAAAACGTGTTAAAACACCACCTGGTTATATTCGACAAAAAGATTTTGCTAAACAATTAGAAACTCAAATTAAATTAAAACAAGATGAACAACATTCAGAAAAACGAGATAAAGATTTTATTGAACGTTTAGAACAAATACAATTAGCTGAATCGTATATCGAAAATTCTTGGTTTTTTTCTTTTCAACAAAAATTTCTACTTTAGATTGGCACAAGACCGAGATAATTATTTCAAAAATAAACGTCGTCATCAAGAAGAATTAAAGAATGCTTTAGATAATCAAGTAACTTATTTCTAAAGAATTCTGTTGGATAAGATGATCACACTGCATCTAGAAAAATACTTATAACGTTTTATAGATCAACTCGTAGCACATCGAGCGGTATAGAGGAAGCTGTATTTTTATCCAGTGTTGACTTTCCAAAAAGCCATAGATCAATTAAGAGATATTATGATTGAATAGTTTTCTTCGTAACCCAATACCTTAGCATTTTTACCGGCTTCTGTAATTTTTGGATTTTGTTTATGTTTTAAATTCTTTGATATTGCTTCTGAAAGCAAAGGCGATCAACCATAAAATTGTCTTTGACATTAATCGATTCTGGAGACTTATGAAGTGCTAATATTTGGTCATGTCACCCACAATTGATGTAACGCCCTTTAACTGCTATATGACTTTTCAAAACGCTAAAATTTGATGAAAATGTAAATTTCTATATACCACTTGATATGCCACAAGTTGGTATAAGTGATTTTTCCAATGCAGAGTGATTACTTCATCTGATAGGGTCTTTTCTATTCTTTAATTTTAATTCTATAAACAAAAATTAGATTCGTAATAAATCTACTGGATTACCTACTTGTGAAGCTGAAACGCCTTATTTTGGTTTAAATGATATATCATCTGAACAATTACAAGAACATCGTCGTCATGCAATAGAAATTGTTCGTCAACAAAAAGATCTTATTGAACAACGACAACGACAACAATTACTTAAACAAATAAAAGATCAAGAATATGAAGTTAAAGTATTAAATACAATGAAAGAAGAGTATGTTTTTATGTTTCAATTGAATAATAATAATTTCTATTGTGTTTTTTTTTTGCTAGTCTTTTATCGGAAAATCATGAACGACATCGTCGTGATATAACAATACGTAAAGATCTCGAAACAAATTGGGTGGAAGCTACAAATGAAAAACGTAAACGTGATCAAGATGAAAAAATATATTTAAAAGCTCCACAAGGTATTCTTGTACATGAACAATGTGATCAATATAAGCGATGTGTTCAATGTCAACGTAATCTAAATAATCAGGGTAAAAGTAATTTTTGGAAAGATACACGATATATACCTGGAACACATATCATGGTTTAAAGATTAACTGACACATGCACATGCATTACCCGGTTAGCCTTAATAGACAAAAAAACAAATATCCATATATCAATTCTGAATAACATATTTTTATGTATCTTTTTTTTGCCTTATTTTGATAAATAAAATGCATGATGAATTCAACAGAGAACGACTACTTCATAGGAGGTAGTTCAATGAATATGAATCATATCGGCCATATATATATATGAGTGAATTACAACTGTTTGATACGATTGAGGTTTTGTCTGAATTGGTTTGACAACGTCTGTTCCTCTCGGTCGATTTAGACAATTTTTTTCGTATGTTATTCCCCTTTAAGTGTTCACTTTCTATAAGAGAAATATGCTTAGAAACCGAAAATCTCTAAGAATCGTCGGAAAGCAAAAAAAAGATAATGAATAGCCCACGTTGTAGAGTCGGAAATATTCTGTCGTATTGTATATCTTTCTCGTTTATCTCTCTCCGTATGACAAACACTTGATCATTTTTGTGTAGCTACAAATTGAAGAAAAGTGAAAGTACTCAAACGAAAGATCGCTTTGCGAAAAACATCTTCATAGAAAGAGAACTTCTTCTGAACAACTTTCTTTTCATGTAAATAAAATCAAAAATATTACTGAGAAAATGTTTAACCATGTTGCTAGTTTTCTTTTTATATCAACCGTACCGAAAAGTTGCAATCTCTACTCACATCTATATTTTTGTCGAACGTTATTATTATTACCAATGATATCGAATTATATTCGTAGAAGCGGATATTTTATAACTATAGTTTGAATGAATAATAACGGATACCAGTCCAAAGGATAATTGGCAGATCGTTGCACGTATGGGTTTCTATTCAGATCGCTAGAGATGAGACACTTGACGGCATTATTTAGTAAGGAAAGAAAGAGAGTGTCGGTTTGGGTGATGACAAAAGCTATAACTGTACTCTACACCCACACCCTTATTTTTCCGATTTTTTTCATTTTCGTGGACAACATAACTATTATTTGTCGAACCGTTTCGAAAAAACGACATCGTTAACTTACATCGTGCTTAAGATGCAAATTGACCGTTAATCTTCTTGTTGTTTCAGCGATCTACATGCCAAATTGGTTAGTCATGACATTCAAGGAAATTTAGACGTTGTTCTTAGTATCTTCTTTCTCTGAGAAAGTGCATTTTGACTACTCTACCATGTGAAAATTTTTGCCTTTGTAAGCTGTTTTTAAGCGGCTTAAATAAGCTTTCACTACAATTAAGTGCTTTAAAGTGCTTAAACATCGCGTTTTTAAGCGTCTAAAAGCGACTTTAATCTATTAAGCCGCTTAATATAGCTTAGAATGGTTTTTGATAAGCGCCGTAAACCTTTATATTTTTAATTGCTTTCCAGCACTTATCACGATAAGTGCTGAAAAGCGCTGTAAATGTTTATTACTTTAAGCGCTTTCCACCGCTTATTACGAAAAACCGCTTATAAACACGGTGATTTTTGTGATTTCTAAGAACTTTACAGCACTTCCTATGGAACTTGCTGAAAATGTTTTATTGTTTTCTTATATTTCAGCGTTTCCCATGACTCAAATGAAAAAATATTCAGAAAGACCAGTGACTATCTCCGAAGATCGATCAGAACAAACATTATTTACTAATTCATCTTAGTTTCTGAAATATTTTTTCTCTTTTCTGATCACAAAGCGCTTACAAAATGAGTTGAAATCACTATAAGTGAACAGCGGAACACATTCTTTTTATCACATCAACCATTTCTCAACTTTCTAAAAAAAACAGTTATAAGTGTACATTGTAAAAGAACAATGGCAAGACTAATTATATTCATTTGGTGTTAATTAGTAACGATTCATTTTAGTTTACTTGTTTCCTTCTTTTACGATTAAGGATATTCTGCGTTAATAAAGAAATATCTCAATAAACTTGATACTGGTAGCGGCAATTACATTCTTATCTTTGCTAGTCTTTTTTAAATTTATTTGAAGAAGTTCTCACGTTTACTTCTCTTGTAACAAAAAATTTATTCTTTTTCCAAATAGCGATATTGAGT